AGTCAGAGCAGCTGACAGCGCAGGACAGAGGCTGTTTAATAGAGGTAGGAGGAGAGTGACAAACTGCCATTCATGTCATAATGAGGCACCTGACAACAGCTCCACTCTTAATTACCCAAGCTGCCACCTCAGAGTTTAGTTAGCACATCGAGGGGTGCATGAACACACACACCCAATTCACACTTCTTCAAGAGCGGGATTTCTTCAATAGACTCCCGCTTATTCTGCCACACACACTTAAACTGACTTCTTCTGCAGTTTGTATTATAATTTTATATGTGCATTGACGAGTGCTCTTTCCAAGGCATGGACTCATTCAGGAGAGCTCATGCACCTCCTGAAACAGAACTCATTCAAACGATCTTCAGTCATTCTGATGCACGTTTACTGCACTAGCACTGCAGTTAAAAAGTTTGGGGTCAGATTTTTTTTGTTTTTTTTGTTTCACTGGTATTTAATCACAGTAACATTTATATAGTAAATATACGTTATTACCATTTAAATAAACTCATTTGTATTTGAATACACTGTAAATAAAATCTGTTAATTATAACAGGTTCTTTATTTTGTGATTTACAAGTGTTTTCTGTTTATTTATGCTTGTGAGTTGCATTATGGGAATGTAATCTTTGCCCTGTCCACTTTTGATGTTGAAAATGCAACTCTACAGTTTAACAGAGTGACTTTTATTGACATTTTAGTAGTTTGTGAAAATATATTGCTTAAGAAATAAGACATATAGAGAACTAAGCTTGTAAAATAATAGAAAATGTGCAGGCAGCTTATTACCAGGTTTTTGTACCGTAATATACAACATCAACCCAGACAATATATCACTTCAAAACATTAAAAATGTCAATAAAAGTCACTTTTTCAAACTTTTCCGCAATAAAATCTTTTGGTGGAAAGATCAAGGTCTCATATTGCAAGTATATTTTACAGAATGGCATCAATGCTCGAAAAAAACAAACTTTTTGAAATTCAGCCAGAAATAGGAAGAAAATCAAATGTATTTTTTTAACTCAAGACACGATGAGATTGTTTATAGAAGATGCCGCATTGGACACACAAGACTCACACATAAACATTTACTTAAAGGAGAAGAACTACCAAAATGTCAATATTGCCAAAGTAACCAAACTGTTAAACATATACTTGTGGAATGCCTTATTTTTAATGTTACCAGACAACACATTTTGTCTGGACACACTTTAAATGAAATATTTTTAAATGTGAATCCTTCTAAAATTGTAAAATTTTTATCAAAAGTAAACCTTAAAAAACTATTTTAGATTTTATCTTATATATTATCAATTAATAAAAATATTATTATTTATGTATTTTACCCTCTGTATTATTTATTGCTGTTGGTGACTTTTAATTGTTAGAATATTTTTTATAACTATAAAAAAGTTGTATTTATAAAATGTGATAAATTTATTCTTTTTTTTTTTTTTGCCATGACATAGCCATAGAAGCTGAAATGGCAATAAACTCAAAGTTCTCTCTTTCTCTCTCTCCTCCAAATACCCCCATTAGCCACATTTCTACTATCACACCTAAAGCAAGTGTGCCAGGGCAAGTCAGGGCCAGTTGCGTTTCCACTGTCACTTCTGAGCTCTGATCGGGCCAAAGCTGGGGCTTCGGGCCGGAGTGAAAGGGGAGGCAGAGTTTGCCCGAGTCTAGTAAAGATGGCATGCAGCCATTAGACTAGTTTTCCGATCGTACATGCACCAAACAAATAAATAAATAACGGAAAGAAAAACATATAGCTGGTCAGTTTAAGATAGGCTACTCCATAATACACTTTATAGGCTAGGGGTCTTTTTTTTGTACTTAAGATTGCTTTTATGTTTCCCTTTTAAATGTAAGGCTGTTACATAAAATAATAAAGTAGTTTTAATTTAATAAGTGACTTTTTTTTTGTTTTAGCTGTTAATCCTAATTCATGCGAATAGACAATAAAAATAAACCTGATTTACAAAGTCTTAAGTTGGAAATGGTGTTTTATAAAGGCCAATGTCACTGAAGTTTCTTACATTTCTTAATTAAGCTCACCCCTACTGTTGCTGGATTTCTGCATCTCTAAAACGTGGAAGACAGTGCAACTGAGACTGGACAGAGGTTTCAGATGAAACGACAGAGTTTGAACCTTTAATTGGCAGTTAAAGTGTACTGAATTAAACACTATCACCATATCCTTCCTCCGCCTCTCAGCTCCTATATATGCTCAGGCAAAGCTGCTCCCGAAACCCGCACAAAGTCATTCTGAAACCCTGCAATTATTAGCCACAGGCCCCAATACACCCACTGAGACATACCGCAGACTACTATTGTTTTTAAATGAAGCTGAATAAAATTTCTATTGACCGATCCTAACCCAAAACTCTAATCCTAATAGTAAATATTTTGAATGTTTAGCAAAAAAAAAAAAAAAAAGGATGTTGAATGATGAATGTTGCCAATTAAGAACATCTCTTAATGCCTTTACATACACCTTTGTCTTTGTTTTAGGCCTTAAGATGCAAGTCTCTAGATTACCATTATCGGTTGGTTTTGGAACAAATCCCCAGGACCGAAATTTAAGGTTTCCCCTTGGGCAATTTTTTTGTTGCATTCTATTGACTGACCCAAATCCCCAAACTCTAATCCTAAAGGTGAATATTTTGGATGTTTGCCAAAAAAAAAAAATGATGTGGAATGATCAATGTTTCCAATGATGTTGCCAATTTATAGCATTTCTTAATGTCTTCACAGACACCTTTTTTATTTATTTTAGGCCTAGATGTAAGGATTGTGGAGGATACTACTACAGTGCATCCGGTAAGTATTCATAGAGCTTCACGTTTTCCACATTTTTTTTATGTTACAGATTTATTCCAAATGGACTTCCACTGATCATTTGTGAGATGTTTCAACAGCTTAATTGCAGTTCACCTGTGGTAAATTCAGTTGATTGGACATGATTTAAAAAGGCATACACCTGTCTCTATAAGGTCTCAGGGTTGATAGTGCATGTCAAAGCACAAACCAAGCCTGAAGACAAAGGAATTGTCTGTAGACATCTGAGATAGGGTGTCTCTAGACACAAGGCTGGGGTTAGGTTACAGAAACATTTCTGCTGCTCTGATGAGAACAGTGAGTTTTAGATGAGTTTCAACAGTGGCCTCCATCATCCGCAAGTGGAAAATCTTTGGAACCACTTCCTAGAGCTGACCGGCCATCTAAACTGAGTGATTGGGGGAGAAGGGCCTTAGTCAGGGAGGTGATCAATAACTCGATGGTCACCCTCTCTGGCCTCCAGCATTTTTTTGTGGAGAGAGGAGGACCTTACAGAAGGACAACTATCTGTGCAGCAAACAATCAATCAGGCCTGTATGGTAGAGTGGCCAGATGGAAGCCACTCCTTAGTTAAGGGCACATATAGCAGCCTGCCTGGAAAACAAAAGTCTCTGCTTTAATGATACTAAAATTAAACTCCTTGGAGTGAATGCCAGGCGTTATGTTTGGAGAAAAGCAGGTACCACTCATCACCACGCTAATACCATTCCTACAGTGAAGCATAGTGGTGGCAGCATCATGCTGTGGGGATGTTTTTCAGCAGCAGGAACTGGAAGACTAGTCAGGATAGAGGGAAAGATGAATTAAGCAATGTACAGAGACATCCTGAATGAAAACCTGCTTCAGAGTGCTCTTGACCACAGACGGTGACGGTTTATCTTCCAAAAGGACAATAGCCCAAAGCACACTGCCAAAAAAATTGGTTAAGTCGCTTTACAACAACTCGGTGAATGTCCTTCAGTGGGCCAGCCAGAGCCCAAACCTATATCCTATTGAACATCTTTGGAGATATCTGAAAATGGCTGCATACCATGGCTTCCCATCCAACCTGGGCCTAAATTCCTAGGTGTACCAAGCTTGTGGCATCATATTCAAAAAGATTTGAGGCTGTAATTGCTGCCAAAGGTGCATCAACAAAGTTTTGAGCAAAGGCTGTGAATACTGATGTATATGTGATTTTTCAGGTTTTGTATTTTTAATAAATTTGCAACAATTTAAGAAATGTTTCATCACATTGTCATTATGGGGTATTGTGTGTAGAATTTCAAGGAAATAAATGTACTGTATCTAATATCCACTTTGGAAAAGGCTGTAACAAAAAAAGTGGAAAAAACGAAGCGCTATGAATACATTCCGGAAGCACTGTATGTAAAATAAGTTCTTCTATATCTAAATATTCAGTTTTGTCTAAATTATTATAATTTTACAATTGAAAGTGAAATCAGGACTAATCACTTTATGCACTTTATGAACTCAACAAAACATTATGATGCATGTAAATAAATAAAAAAAGGACCATGCTGAATTCCATGGATGCAAATATTACCCTTTATTTAGGTTATATTTATACATATATATGAAAACGTATTAATAATTATTAATATTTTTATTAAATATATTAAAGTTTATTGAACATTTCTTCTAACAAGTTAACTTAATAAAACTTTTGCAAAAAGTTTAACCTGCAGCACATTACAATAATGTGATTAAAACGAACTTGTTAACGGATGCTAAAACTCAATATTAAGTCTCATGTGTACACAGCTCCATTTCATGATTTTCACATCAAGAGCAAAGTTCAAAAACCCAGCGAGTATTAAAATGATAATCTTTCAGTTCTTTGGAAAACAACACACACAGACTGACAGAAATACACAAAAGTACGTTAATGTGTCACTCTGTGGTATGCACCTTTCATTTAACTCGGAGAGGGGGTCATGAACATGTCCTTTAGCTCGTTTGGTTAAATTAATTCATCATGCTTTTAAACTATCAGTTGAGCAATTATACATTAACCCATTTGGACAGCGCGCAGCACCCAGATGCGCACAGGAACCATCCAGCTCTCCATCCCAAAGCAATAAAAAAAAACCTTGCGCGTGGCATGAAACACTCCAGAAACGCCTCTTTCTCTCTCTTATGGTGAACAAATAACGCGCATTGCCTTCAGTGCACATCTGCGATCCAACAGTTGAAGGCGGCACGTCATCAATCTGACAGCTTCACGCCGAATCAGGTTTCTGCTGCGCTCTGGAGCGAGTGTCAAGTTTAGCGCACTTGCTTCTTTGAGTCTTTGGAGAGCTCGCAACATCCCGCAACAAATCTGGTAAGTGTTACTATAAGTACTTTGATATTTTGGGTAGTTAAATGTTTATAGTTATTAAAAAAAACATTTAGGATCGTTGTGAGCAGCCATTACGCGCACTTTTAAGTTGGCGTATTATTAGTTGTTATTAGTTAAAAAGTGCTATATGCACATATTTAGATGTGTCTTATGCAATGACAGTTATTTGACATGTCTAATTAGCACACAAAGACAATGTCAACGCCAATGATGAGCCAATAAATGGACACTGGGGTGCTGCAGTCTGTGCAACACGTGGGTACCGCAGGGAACAGTTGTCAGTTTCAATATATTATTGAGTGATAACACTGAAGATGGAAAGTTTAGCTGTAGATATGGAATTGTTATTATTATTTATTAAGCTGAAAATGTGCATGTTGTCAATATAACTTGAAAGAACAATTTGTTATTCTTATATGTTGATATGTTTTTTTAATATTAAAGTTGAATTTCATCTGACTACATGTTTTAACAATTTTTTTCTCTGCATGTTGTAATTTTGGCACCACTTAAAAGGCTGGCAATTGCAAAATACGCTAGCCTAGCACTTTAGCAGCAGTTCAGTCACTAGAAAGTTATATTACTAGTTAGCCAGACTATGCTAAACAGAAATTACGTTAGGCTGAATGACCATAGCAACAGTACAGCGCTGCTCTTTCCGTTAGAGCAAATATATAGACTAAACAATATATACTGTCAATGTTTATGATTTACACTTTATAGGAAGTATGAGCAAAATGGAGAGTTTTAAAAAGTGTACTTGTTGGTGCTCTTGTGTTTTGCACCTGCTACACATCAGGGCGGCGAAAGTTGCTTAACTCGAATCTCAACTGATTCTGTCACCAAAAATAAATAATAAATAAATTATTTTAAAAATGCAATAATTTAACCATTTTTTAAATTACTGTTATTAAGTTTTCAGAATGTTTATATGTAGTAGCCTAATAATGTATGTCCTAATGCTTGCTGGATGACTTTTATCGATATTTTTCTCGACGTGATTTCATATGCAATTCAATAAATATTTGTGATTGTCTCATGCTGTTGTGACGGATTTTTGCAGAGCACTATGCTGTCCTGCCAAGATCTGAGCTTTGCAGGAGGGCAGCGCTATGAGTACTGCGCCTCGACGTCAGCTGATGGCAGTGTTGACGTTTCCACAACAACGCTGGTCTCCCTCTGGGACGCGGGTCCCCTGGACAACGCTGCCCGCCAGCACGAGCCGCCGCGGCGGGGTAAGTCCTGCAATATGCCGGGATCAGCGGCGCGAGAGGCTTCCCGCCTTGACAAACTGGAATTTTTCCATCTGGGATTTTTTTTCTTCTTCATGTTTTTGTTAGAGTAGCAATGGGCTGTGGAGTATCTGGCTACCTCCAAAGTGTTAGTTCTTTTGGGTACTTTCTTTTGTTTTTAAAGTAGCCTATTTTTTTAATTGATGTTTTGTTTTTATTTTCTTTTTTCCTTCACATTTCACATTGAAATTATCCCTAGACCATTACTAATGAGGATAATGACCTTTTTTCTTTCTTTCTTTAAATCGCCCATTTGTTTTAGATTCACTCCTTGAGAGTGGACTGGGACATCAGCCCACCTGGCATGACCAACTGTCACCTCAACTTCAACGGAACAAACAGGTATTGAAATTGTTGATCATATTTGAGTTACTCAGCCTAGCAGTTGAGACAGTGTTAATGATTGTGGTAACATTTTCCCTCGTGAAGCTCCAAGACACCTTAATGCAAAGAGAGGAAGAGCTGGCCCGACTGCAAGAAGAGAACAACAAGCTCAAAGAGTTTCTAAACTCGTCATATGTGAAGTCTTTGGAGGAAAAATCTAAGGTAAGAAACCTCTCAATTTGTCACAGATATTAACACTATATTTAGTGATGTGTGCAATTTTTTTCTATATTGAAATACTTAACATTACTTCAACTAAAGAAAAGCAAAAATAAAGTTAAAGGGGGGAATCGATGAATGGATATTCAACAAATACAACTGATAACTACTGCAATTAGGCGAGGCAGTGGCGCAGTAGGTAGTGCTGTCGCCTCACAGCAGGAAGGTTGCTGGGTCTCTGGTTCAAACCTCGGCTCAATTGGCTTTTCTGTGTGGAGTTTGCATGTTCTCCATGCCTTCGCGTGCTCTGGTTTCCACCACACTCCAAATACATGTGGTACAGGTGAATTGGGTAAGCTAAATTGTCCGTAGTGTATGAGTGTGTGTGTGAATGTGTGTGTGGACGTTTCCCAGAGATGGGTTGCGGCTGGAAGGGCATGCTGGATAACTTGGCGGTTCATTCCGCTGTGGCGACCCCGGATTAATAAAGGGACTAAGCCGACAAAAAAGGAATGAATGACTACTGCAACTACTGTATATTCATTCGTTTCCTTTTTGGCATAGTCCGTTTATTAATCTGGCGTCACCACAGCGGAATGAACCGCCAGCTTATCCAGCATATGTTTAGCGGATGCCCTTCCAGCTGCAACCCATCTCTGGAAAACATCCATACACACTCATTCACACACAAACAGTACTGACAATTTAGCTCACCCAATTCAACTGTACCGCATGTCTTTGGACTGTGGGGGAAACTGCACCCGGATGAAACCCACGCAAACACGGGGAGAACAACTACTGTATAAAGATGTTTAAGCACACACACACACATACACACACACACACACATATATATATATATATATATATATATATATATATATATATATATATATATATATATATATATATATATATATATATTTACAGTTGAAGTCAGAATTTTTAGCCCCCTTTGATTTTTTTTCTTTTTTAAATATTTCCTAAATTATGTTAAACAGAGCAAGGAACTTTTCACAGTATGTCTGATAATATTTTTCTTCTGGAGAAAGTCTTATTTATTTTATTTTGGCTAGAATAAAAGCAGTTTTTAATAAAAATAATAAAAAAAACATTGTAAGGAAAATATTATTAGCCCCTTTAAGCTATTTTTTCAATAGTCTACAGAACAAACTATTGTTATACAATAACTTGCCTAATTACCCTAAGCTGCCTTGTTAACCTAATTAACCTAGTTAAGTCTTTAAATGTTACTTTAACCGGTATAGAAGTGTCTTGATAAATATCTAGTCAAATATAATTTACTTTTATTATGGCAAAGATAAAATAATTCAGTTATTAAAAATTTGTTATTAAAGCTATTATGATTAGAAATGTCTTGAAAAAAATCTGCTCTTTGTTAAACAGAAATTGGGGGGGGGAAATGGGGGTTAAGAATTCAGGAGGGCTAATAATTCTGACTTCAACTATATATATATATATATATATATATAGTTTATCAAATGAAATGAGTGCAGTTAACTCAATATTTACTGAAAATTAATTCTACTCATTTGAAGAGTTTTGAACTCAGTGTTGAAGGTTATGAATTGATTAAATACCTCATTACTTTAACTTAAATGGAGTAAGTTCTTAGTACTCAAACTGATAGATAATGGTTTGAGTTCTCATTTATCAGGTTTTACTGTGCTCAAATTGCTTCGTTTACTCAGATGCATTAAGTTTGCTGTACTCATTAGGATTAGTTTTTGAACTTAAATGGTTTGTTGCAATTGGTTTCCTCAAATGGTTTGAGTTACTTTAACTTGTTGGGTTTTACAGAATATATATATATTGGACTTCAGATGCAAAAACCTCTAAATGCCATCTGAAATTTTCTCCTAAAATGAGCATTTTTATCAGGCTCCTATGTGTAGGTTCAGTAATTTTTACTTTTATGGCAAAAATAAGTTATTTTCACTATCTTTAAAGTAAAATAAATCAACATAAATGAAGGAGGCAAACATTTTTTTTTCATTTTCAACTGAAATTTTAGCCGGCACTTAGAGGTTTTTGCATCTGAACTTTTCATTTATATTATTATAAATTAAATACATACACGTTTATTTACCACTCAGCTTAGTTTTCCTTGTTATAAACCCAGATTTTTACCCTGGGTAATGTTTTCATAATTGTCATTTAGAGGTGGGATCAGCACAGTTTTTTTTCTGATTTTATTAAACCCTACACTGGAACAAAAGCAGAATGGAAGGGTGCAATGTTACGATTAGATGCTTATCTTGTGCCTCATATTTGCAAGCTTTGGAAAGTTAACCCATTGCTGTACAATTTAAAACCGCAGGATGAGTTGTTAAACCATAGATTACTTTTGAACAGTTTGTTGCATGATTAATTAGGATTACACAGGGGAATGACCCAGGGTTAAGTTTAAAAGAAAAAAAAAAGTAAAGCGACAATATCCTTGGAATCACCAACAATAAAGCTGACAGCTAATTAGAATCAACTTAAGGAAAGATTTTCATCCATTTGACAGCACATGTGCTGCAAATCCTCACGACACAAACAAATAATAAAAAAAAATGTGCTGCATTTTCTCACAATGCAAACATTAATAAAACACACTGCTTTTTATCACAATGCAAACAATTTACGAAAGCGCCTGCATTTTCTCATAACACAAAAAGAACAGAACGCTACCTGGGAAGTGGGGCTGAAGTGAATTCATACCTGTTCTATTAGTGCTAGATTACAACTCAGTTTAACATGGTACATAGGCTACATTATACCAAAACTAAACTCTAAAAAATTTTCCCATCAGTTTTCTCGTTATGTGACAGATGCAATATCTCAGAAGTTTGCTCATACTTTTTGGTTTTGCCCTGAGATCTGAGAGTTTTGGAAAATATTTTTCAGTTTTATTCAAATGTTTTCGGGGAAAAACATTAGTCCAGATATTGAATTAGCCCTGTTTAGATGCTCTGACCCTGTGTTAGCATGGTCAAACGCTCAGCAAATATATTATGTTTGGTATAGTGGTGGCTAAAGGGGTGATCTTGATGGATTTGAAGTCCACTTTACCACCTACTTTTCATAAATGGCTGACTGAAATGGTTGCTGCTCTTAAGCTTGAAAGAATTTGTTTTTGCTAGGGCAGATGCTTCTTAAAAGTTAGAAAAAATGGTGACACTTTACAATAAGGTTCATTAGTTAATGCATTTACTAACATGAACTAATCATGAACAACACATGTACAGCATTTATTAAGCACAATTGAACATTTACTAATGCATTATTAACATCCGAGTCCATGCTTGTTAACATTAGTTAATGCACCATGAGTTAACATGAACTAACAATGAACTACTGTATTTTGATTAACTAACATTAACTAACATGAACAAATACAGTAGTAAATGTATTGTTCATTGTTTGTTCATGTTAGTAAATGCATTAATTAACATTAACTAATGAACCTTATTGTAAAGTGTGACCAAAAAAATCTAGGGCCTCTTTCTTGCCTTTTATTTAAGAGTTGAAAGTAGAGCGCTTATGACTCATGAACAATTTTACTCTTTCTTCTTAATGTTTTGAGTTTAATCAAGTAAAACTTAAAGATGTATAGTATTTACTCTATATGGTGCATGTTTGGATGGACTGGTGCTTGTTTTTTTTTTTTTTTGTTATTTGATTCACTTATTTAATATTGTATTTGAAAAAAAAATTCTGTATTTTTTCATTATCTGTATAAAAACACATTATGTGTTGTATAAATGTTTTGTACTTACAAAAAAAGTACTGTTTTGTACTTACAAAAAACGTATAAATATATATATATATATATATATATATATATATATATATATATATATATATATATATATATATATATATATATATATATATATATATATATATATAAAGAACGGAACACTTAGGAAATGTTGCAAAGGGACCCAAAAACGTGACAACCACTGCTGTGCCGTGACTATGGCTGCATCCGAAACTGCATACTTCCGTACTATACAGTACACTAAAATCAGTATGCGAGGCACGTAATAAGTCCGAATTCATAGAATTCGAAATTCAGAATGTGAGAAGAACCCGGATGACTTACTACTTCCGGCGAGATTCTAAAGTGCGCATCCCATGCACGCTGCGCAATCCCATGATGTTCCACGAGAGAATTCATGAATTGGAATGAAGAGACGCAACTGACGCAGGTACGTCACGTGACCATGACAAAATGGTGGATGTAGTACGCCCGAATTGCATTCATACTGTTTTGAACGTACTTTTCTAACGGCCGAGTAGTACGTTTAAATTCAAATGCAGTACCTACTGAGTAGTAGGCGGTTTCGGACGCAGCCTATTATTCAGTGAAGTTAATGATGATCTTTGAAAGATGAGTTTTTTGTTTGCTTATTTTAATATCCTGATTCTCCTGTAGTACTTATTAGCCTAAAAAAACCCTAACCTAAATAGCCGGGTCCGTCAAATTTTAGGGTCTCCTTGAAACATTTAAGTTGTGTTGTGAGAAAATGTGTGTTTTTGTAAAATGTTTGTTCTCTGAGAAGACGCAGTGCACTTTCTTTATGTGTTTGAGTTGTGTCGATTTGCAGCATGTTTTCTCTTAAATTGCAGCACGTTCAGCTCTCTCAACCATTGTATTTTTACGTTTAATCATCTTTTCTGACATCCTGTTTAACAACATTCTCTCTCCTTTAGAAACTTCTTTTTAACGGCAAGGTCCCAGATGTGTCAAGGCACCGGAAACGAATGCATGGTGATTTCCGGAACCTGAGCCAGTTGCTTCACACCAGTGAGGGGAAGCGCACTTGCCGAAACCTCTCTTTGGAGTTTTGCTCTGCAGAAGAGCTAGCAGCCACCCCGCCTCTAGACTCATGGGTACTAGAGACTCTAGGTCTGCAAGACGAGAACACCATCAACCCAGAACGCAGTTTGAACACAACTACCTTCAGCCGTCCACTACCTACTGAAGATCGTTACAGTGTGGACAACACAACTGGCTTCAGTCCTAATGCTGGAACACATTGCGATTACAGCAGCATTGTAGACTCGAGCAGCAACTGCAGTCTTGACACATCCAGTGGCTACAGCACTTCTCAGAGCTTGGGTTCGGATTATTCAACTCTTGATCCCTCAGCTCTGTACACCATTACGTCTACAGGGTCACCGGTCAGCTCTCCACCAGCATTGACAACCGCTCAACACTTCACACCACCACGAGCTGCTTCTACCCCGTATCGACCTCAGGATGTAAGTCCATACTACAGCACACCAGGCTGTGGTTCCTCCACGTCACCAGGGGGCGACAAACAGCTGTTCTCCACACCTCGTATGTCCCGTAGCAAGACAGATTTAGCATTTAGCATGTCACTAAGTCCACAAAACAGTGTGAAGACGCACAGTTTCCCTCAAGGACAAGCTTTCACACGCAGAGACGCGCAAGGTGGATGGAACTTCACCTGGGTGCCCAAACAATGTTCCTAGAGAGGATCGTTGGAGGAGAAAGCCCCTTTTTGGGAGTGATAACCCAAGGTGCCCCATACTTGCTAGAAACGCAACAACTTATGTATGATAGTACTTTATCATTGCATAGCTTTGTATATGATGTCATTGTAAATATGTATAGTGTTTTTATACATTGTGATCGAAAGGCTTTGTCTTTGATGTTAAATCATGACTGAATTCATTAAAATCACCAATTTCTTTCTGAATAAATGCTATTTTGTTGTTTCTTTTGAAAACATTTGACCCCTTACTTTCGATAATCACCGTCTTTAGTGTTACAATGTTAACAAATATACAAACAGAGCATATGTTACCTGCTCTCAGACACCTAGGTCAACATTGCCTCTTTAATTTTGAACTGACGCATCATAAGTATCAACGTCGTGAGTCCCAAATCTTCTCGTGCTACACCGTTAGCTCTACCCTGTCATTCTCACAGCTGTCCCGCTTTCCTTCCCTCCTTCCCCTATCACTTTCCCTCCCTCTGTTTCTCTCCGGTACGTCTTCTCCATTCTCGCGCCACTGTGAGACAAAAGAGAGGGCCGGCCGGTCTCGAGGGGGACTTCCTCCCCGATCCGCCCAGCAGGTCTGAGACCCCCATGGGGGTCCAACATGGGATACTTACACCCCTCTATCCCTCCCCTCTGCCCAGCCTCTCACTCTCAGCTCTGCCCTCAGGGAGCTGGGGACGGCAGGGAAAGTTTGGGCCCTGAGTTAGCCATGGAGAAGCCAGGGTGAGTGGTCTATCTCTAATGACACGGTTAAGCCCCCTGCAGATGGCCTCCAGATTGAGGAAAGAGCACCTTGAGAGGTACAGGAGCCTGGAAAATAACGGCGAAAGAATAAGGAATAGGAGAGGATACATGATTGGGGGTGACCAAAAGGGAATTTGGCAGGAACAATCAACAGGTTGTAGTGTGAAAAGAATTGACATGATCAGAAAACATTATTATGCAATACTTCTGCAGGGTCCCCACGGGGTCTTAAAAAGTATTAAAAAGTCTTAAATTAAAAAAATCGAAATTTATGGCTTTAAAAAGTCTTAAATTTGCTGTTCTTGGTCTTAAATATTTTTGCACAGGTCTTATTTTTGCGATGTCCATGTAACGCTACATCAAATGCTCATTTGAATTCTATTTGTTGTTGCTAGGTTTTTGGGGTGTTGTAGTTCATTATTTCACTAGTCCAATTGTAATTTGCGCTATTACAACTACAAAAAAGTCAACTTGCAATAGCCAATCAGCTTTCTGTTATACTCAGTGCGCGCGGCGAATGTGACATCATCGCTGTGTTTGCGGAAGTTCCCTTTGAGTGCGCGCGACATGATTTCGGCTGGCAGAGAATGACGTTATTTCATTGACAAATATCGCAAGCGCAGTTTTATAAGTCGGGAGCGCTGTAATACTAGAGAGCGAATCTCTGCTCACGGGCCGGTTTCCTTTGTTCATGGACAAAACTGCTTGCGAGCTCTCAAAAAACTGGCTGCTCACGTGCGAATGATCTGCTCTCGCTCCGTCGAACTCCTTTCGTGCTTTTCCAGAGATGCTTCAGCATAGTATTAGGAATAGTGAACTGATAAAATGAAATACAGTTTAGTTTTACTACAGTAAAGTGTGTTGAATTGTAGAATAATATACCCTAAATTGTAAAAAAAAAAACTAAAGCACTGGGTAGTTTGTTTTTAATACACTTGTTGTTACCATAGGAACTATAGTATTACCACAACAGAGTAATTGAAGTACTTTACTGTACTTTACAATACACTATACAGCAGAGACGTGTTCACTTTATTTTAGAGATAAAATGGGATTGATAGTGGGATTTATTTGAAGAGTGAATAGTACAGTAGGTTATAATACCTAATCAAGTTTTTACCTATTTTCGATCACAGTTACATTTCTGCTTGCCAGAATGACCAATAATTATTGGCTACAAATTGCAACAGCCATGGGAAAGGAGGAAAGTTTTTGTAAAACTTTGGAAAAACTCTGAGGCATAAGTTTGTTAAAACAAAAAATAGGCCGCCAAAAACATCTTCAATGATAATGATTATCTTTTTATTCGTCTGATTTTACTTTGTTTTTTTGGACAGCCCCCTGTCATTTAAAAAAAAAAATCTCAATTTATACGTGTCAAGTATAAAGGCCTTAATCCGTTTTGTGAGTTGTGCAATGCGGTGCCAGGTGAATGTATAAATCTGCATTAAGATGTTTGTTTTTTCTGTAGTTCAATGGTGCATTTAACCTGACTTTAGTACTGTTCAATTTAAATAACTTTATTTTACCCCTAATTTTGTGCTTTTACATTTTCTCTCGCTTGTTTTTGATATTGCGATATAGGTCTTAAAAGTAATACTTAATGGTCTTAAAAAGGTCTTAAAAGGTCTTAAATGTGACATAATGATATCTGCAGAGACCCTGTTCTGCAGACTGTAGGTAAAGATCATTATATTTTTTGATTTTATTCTAAATTACCTAATAATACTGGTAGCACTTTATTTTGATGGTCCATTTAAGTATTAGACCGCCTGCTTAATATCTGCTGATACTGCTCCTTCAACAAACATAAGAAACTTTGCAAGTACATGTCAACTTACACTAACCCCAACCTAACAGTCTACTTATAATCTAATGAGAATTAGTTGACAGGTACGTAGATGCAATGTAACTTAAATTCAACAAACGAACCATCAAAATAAAGTGTGACCTTAATAGCCCCTATGTTCGTTGCTAAGAAGTGGTTAATTGGGAGTGTTGTTGGAAACATTAACATGCTATATTTAAAGTTTTCTTCAGTGGGATTGAATCAAACACATGCATTTTCCTCGTACTGTACCTTTCATGTCACCTCATCCCTTAAAGTGTCTCAAATGATTTGTTCAATTTTTCTAAACTAATCCTTTCCAGTGCCTACTTTGCACTGACTGGTCAGATGACTCATCAATTAGTGTCAGAAACTACAGTAATCTCTATACATGTTAGGATAGAAACAGTGTTTATTTTATTTTATTTTATTTTACCATATAAGTTTATGCTCAAACATCAGAAGAACAAGTTGACCAACCCAGACCTGCATTACAAGCTCAACATGAGCAGTGTGTTTCTCAGTTTTAAATTTAGAGATTATAAGAATCACATGCAAATTTTTGATTAGTCACTGCTGAAATTGCTGGAGTCATGTGACCAGTACAGTTATAGTCGAATTACCATGTTTTTAAATGCTCGCGCAGCGAGGTTGCAGAAAAAAACCCAGGAGTGCTAGCATTTACAGCGAGGTAATGACATCTGATGTGGTACAGAGTTTGTTGTTGTCTTAGAAATAAGTTATGTTAATTAGATATTATATATATTATTAACATAATGCTTTCAGAGTATTATAACAGCTTGTCACGCAGTGATAAGCACCGTTATTCTGCAAAATTAACGTTAAAGTGAGCAGTGTTCATCTGAAAGGTCCATTTGCGATAGCACCCTCCCAATGAATATTGGATAAGATGAAAAGGCGAAGCATCCAGCCCGAAATATACAACTATCTTATTGAAACTCAAAGTGATTTTACTCAAGAGAAGTTAAAGGCCTACAAGTCTTTGGATGCCAACAATGTTGTTCAGTGTGGTCATGTGCAGGAAATAATGTTCCATGATTACCAGATTTAAAACTTTGTAGTGCTAAAACCGAGGTTCTGCCTAGCCAAAGACAAGGAAAGAAGACGAAGCTAAACAAGGCCTGGGTAATCATCAACAAGCAAAACAACTGCATTCTGACAGCGAACTGCACCTGTATGGCAGGGTTTGTGAACTTACGCTTTTACATTTCGTTCTAAGCATTCAGTGTCCGCAGTTTTATTAATCATATTTAACTGATTTTGTTGAAATCATTGCTGCAATCAAAAACGAGTAATGTGCATGATTTAGCATAGTGTGAACTTACCAGATATAAAATGAGAACTGCAGGGCATTTTTAATTAGGTCGTTACTCAATTCTTCTTCCTTTTAGCCAAAGACATCTGCTGTTGGCATTAAAAGAAGTGTGGTGTATGGTAAAAATTAAGAATTTGGCATCCTACTGCATAACACGGCAGGTTTGCTATTGCAACCGGTCTCTTTTTGTGTGTTGTAGGTTGGTAATTAATCTATAGCCAACGTTTCACCTTTTACTACTGCCAATTTTGGCTTCAAAATACATTAAAGTTGTGTCAGTTTATAAGGATTGCACACATGCGCAATTATAATCTTGCACATCTTTAACTTGCACATTAAAATATGTGACATTTATTCCACCTGTTGAATCAGTTAAAAACATCATAGACACTAGGAAAAACATTTCCTGTTTAAAGATCTTATTTTCAGCTTTAAAAAAAAAAAACAATGAAAAAATCCTTTTTTTTTTCTTTTTTTTTTTGACTGAACCAGAGTGTTGAGTGTAGTTTTTGGTTGGCCTACAAAAAAAATGTCATTATCAAAGCACTGAAAATGACAAAAAAAGCGAATGGTACTTGTAGAATCTTGGTAACTCCAAAGTTTAGTTTATAAATTTAAAATTATTTATTCACACTTCAAAAAGATGGCCAGTTATGGGTTTTCATACAGTATTCAGCAGGATCAATTCATGACAACACATTCAGCTCAACCGAAACAGCTCAACAGGATGTCCACAGGGTCTTAAAATCCAACACATCCAATCGCCAACAATACACTACCTGACAAAAATATTGTCATCAATGTCAGTTGTAAGAGCAACAAATAATAACTCAACTTAGTTGATCATTTGGAAAAGTGGCAGAGGGTTGATTTTTTGGATGAATCATCTGTTGATCTGCATCCCAATCATCACAAATACGGCAATAGACGTATTGGAACCCACATGGAACCAAGATTCTCACAGAAATCAGTCAAGTTTGGTGAAGGACAAATCATGGTTTGGGGTAATATTCAGTATGGGGGTTTGCGAGAGCTCTGCAGAGTGGATGGCAACATCAACAGCCTGAGGTATCAAGACATTTGAGCTGCCCATTACATTACAAACCACAGGAGAGGGCAAATTCTTCAGCAGGATAGCGCTGCTCCTCATACTTCTCATTTTATACTGTACATTATTTATGTTAAGTGACAAGACTTTTGTCTAAACAAGGTCAGACCTCAGTCCTAATTAAATAATTAAAAATCAAGGCATGATCATTTTTTATTTTGGTAAAATAAGCGTAATCT